AGGTGGCCTTCTATTTAGGGTGCCCTTCTAATATAGGGTGGCCTTCTATTTTGGGGGGGGGTTTAGTGAACTAATAGCTTGGGTTGATAACTGAGCCACAGTGCTTGCTACGATATCATGTGTTGATTTATCAGTGGTTGAGGTCGCATGTCGCATTGCTGCTGTTGCTTGTATTACCTCGCCGTCAACTGAACTTGGCTCATGATTATGTTCTCCAATTTCATTGACAACTGTATTATTGATTGAATAAAGAAAACTGTTTATTAAGATTATGAGATTGAACGTTTAAGCTTAATGCGCTTAAATGAATAGGATTAGAGAATAATCGAAAAGAATAGAAAGTACAATACAGAAATGAAAAAACTGTTATGACTTAATTTCGATAAAAGATATAAGAAAAGAAAAAACAGTCCTGTATATTTTGTTTCTGAATGAACTTTCATTTTTGACTCATCACTCATTATTTCATATACACTATTCTTTCATGCCTATACGTAATTGAAAAAAATTTGGAATTCTCAAAGTTATCACTCTTGTGGAGCATCATCCTAGGAGAGCAAGTGTTCGGGGAGCAAGTATCCGAGAAGCAAGTGACCTGGGAGCAACTGTGTGGGAAGCATGAGTCCGGGAATCGTTTTTTTCCAACCCCACACAATCTTTTTTGTCTTATATGCTATAGTTTCTTGAAGTTAAGCATTATTTTTCGACATGATGAATATAACGAACTGAGCACATGTGTATTCAATATAATAGTATTTTCGAAAAAAAAGTGACTGTTATATGACAATTCAGGTCAAAGAATCTTGCTGTAAGATCTTATAAGATTCTTGTATGATTTCGTAAGACTCCGTAAGAAACAAAGAAACTGATTTTTGATTCAAGATCTTATAGTAAGATTTCGTAAGATTCTTGTATGATTTTTATAACATTTAATAAGATGAATCCGTTTCTATGATTTTCCGTAAGATTTTATACGATCCTGTAAGATCTTGATCTGATTTTTTGACCTGAGAAGACCTTCATCCTTCTTTTAGCGTGGTATAAAGACTATTTCTTTGCGGTTTTTTTGGCGTTTATGTCTGTTTTCTGATCTGCCTGGAACTAATTTATTTTAAGAAGGTGAAGTATTTTACAAGGTGATGACACACAAAGAATTGGGACTCAGCCATTCTGCCTCATTCACAGGATGCTAGATTGACTCTGGCAACGAACTGATTCGAGCGCTAATATCCACGGGTATACATTCTCTAAAAGTCCAAGCGTGAATGCTCGATGCTTCACATACGGCAAACATAATCTTATCGGTAAAACTCACAAGTGAATAAACCAAAAGACATTAGCCTCTCACTTTTATTTTGAGGTCAAGTCTAATTAGAATTGAGAATCACAGTGAAGAACTAAGTAAATTTGAGAAAGAAGGTTATGGAGTAAAAATTGATTGCACCATGTTCTTGAAGAAAAGTCCGAGTAAAACATGATGGAGCCAAGTCGAAAAAAAGAACTAGAGCTTTTTAGAAAGCGAGAGAACGATTAGGCATGATTTTCTTGGTATATGCGTTTGAGAGTAAAAGTTTCCAAGCAAAAAGTTGTTTTGAATCTAGCATAAGCTAGCTAAAAAGAAACATTTACCTAACTTGAACTAGCTTATTATTTCCTTTAGGTAGCTTAAGCTAGATCCAAAAAACAGTTTTTTGCTTGGTTTAAGGCTGTTAATGGTATTACGATCAGGAAGTTTGTGGTTATAACATGGCATTAAAAAAGAAAAACGAAATGTGCGAGCGCTGCAGTTGTACAGTAGATCACACAACATAACACTTTCTTAGTTACTGATCAAACGAAGTCTCTAATTCTTGCTTTAATTAAAATTAATTGTTAAGACGCACTGAAAAATATATCTTACTATAGATATGACTGAGCATAGTTTATTATTTATAGGCAATTAGTTCTACATGAGAAAGAACAAAACGACAAATAAAACACAGAAACAAAATAAACAATCAGAAAAATGACTAAAAAAGAACCAAACAGAAAACAATTCAAGGAAAAAAAACTAAGTTTTTATGACGAATAGAGATGGACAGAAATTTTTTAATAACAGTCCCTTGTTCAAAAATTTAACAATATGTTTTTAATAGGTAAATGTTCCTTTTTAGCTAGCTTAAGCTAGTGCCCAAAAAATTTTTTTCCCATAGCCGAAAAAAGAATAATTTGGAAGTATCTAAAATACAATAATTTAGTTGCACAAGATTAAAGATAGTTTATTGTAGGCTTTGTTTTAAAAGATTAAATTTTTATTGCTTCATAGGTTTCATTAGCCTTTCTATTAAAATAGTTCCATTTTTCTAGACAAACATCCAAAGAATTATTACTTCCGCTGCAGAACTGACATCCTGCAAAATGTAAAATAAAAGGATTCCATTCTAATTTATGAAAAGCTTGCTTCCAGAACCCATTCAAATCATAAGTAGTTTCTAAAAAAGTCTTGTTCTTATATATTTCATAATTTTTAAGGACATAACAGAAAGCATTTTGCTCAAAAAGACCCCATAAATACTTGTTTAAATATTTTTCTAGCAAATCTTCTTTTATTCTTCCATCTTTTTTACCAAATGAATCTATCAATTCAATGAATTCTCTGGACCAATCACAATTTCTTATTAAAAACACGCCTGTATTTATTCCATTGAATGGATCTCCTTTTTTATATAATAAATCATCTAATCCCCAAATTACCAAATTATAACCTACATACCTATCAAATGGTATATCAAAAGACATATTAACAATCAGAGCATCTGAATCTACCCACATGATCCATTCATTTTGCCTTTCTTTCAATAATTTTTTTATCAAAGCTACCTTATTCCAAGGTCCGTTCATTTCTCTATCTACTTGTATAGCATTAAATTCTGATTCGTAACCTTTTAATTCTGAATATTGCAATTTATTTAAAAAGCTTTGCAAATTCACATAATCACCAATAGATGTTTTACAAGGCTTTGGTGAAATACCAGTAGCTATCAGCAATTTTGATGTTTTTGATTCAGCATAGCTTTCTTTTACATAGAAAGACGCTAAAAATCGATGAAGAAAAAACAATATTAACATAGAAACTAAAAGGCAATAAAATCTATAACGAACCATAAAGTGTGAAAATTTACAAAATCTATAAAACGAACCGCATCCAGCCACAATGACGGCTTAACGTTTACACTCTGTCAAATGTACTGTATAAATACTTATTACTGAACCTTATTTCGCAGACGGAACGTATTTAAGAATCCTTAACAGGTCCTGTCTGTACTCTTTTTTAGAGAGCAATAGCGTGTACACAGTAGAGTATACACACTACACTCTACTGTTTGTTTAAGGCTACGTTTGAATGAATATCATATATTTCTAAAACCAATCCCCATATAGATATTTTTGTAAAAGTTATGTGTTGAGTGTTCGAACTTCTAGGACAATCTAACTGTGTTGACTTGTAATCTAGTATCATATCGAAATTACAATAAAAAAGCTTTGACTGTACTCATATCTTTCGATGCTAGCTGCAAATATTCTTTATACTTTCAGATGGCTGTGTCAAAATTTTCCTTTAATTTACTATTCAGCACTGATGCGACGGTTTCGATGGATATTTCACAAATTGAAGAACTTCAAGCAAAAGTCTACGATTATTTGGAACATGAACATAATGAATATAAAACTTCAAGCTGGTACATTAGAGGATGAAATATTTCGTCTTAAAAATATGTCCACACTGTTAGGATAAATGTTAAAAAGAGAATTAATCAATAGATATCTTCGTGATGATCTTTATGTCAGATACTTACAAAAGCTGTTTAAATCTGATGATATCACTTTAATGAAATCAACCGTCCATCATTTTGCTCAACAAGACGCACTGATGTTAAACTGGTTTATGTTGAAGATTTTTCCGATTGAAAAATCGTGAGTGGACAAGACTGAATCATGCTATTGCATTTAATCTAATAGTGTTTGTCCACACGTCTTTAGGTCGAAAACAATAAGTCTTTATTCTTCTCATTGATAAGTAATATTATAAATTGTGTCCGTTTGTTACCTGGTATCACAAGTCACCTTTTACAAGTATGTTAATGTTTCAGTTATTTTTTAGTGCAATTTTTATATTTACTAAGCTTCTAAAATCAATTTCGGCTTTGGACATAAACAATGCTAGAAATGTTATTAATATGACTGTACAGAACAGGAGAGAAAGATTCACTCAGAAAAAACGTCTGTTCTTTTTATTTAGGTTCAAAAATTATTGAATCATTTACAGGTTAGTAAACAGTTGTAGAAACATCGCGGTTTCTTCGAGTTGATATATTAAAGAATTTCATTTCTTTTCATCTGTTAGTATGAAAGCGATAAAGAAGTTGAAGAAGAGCTAAAATTTTTTGTTGAAGTTCTGAAAGTGAGTACAAATAGTCTTTTTGCTGGCTGGGTGTTTAGAAGAATAAGAGCATTTTTCAATAGGAAAATGATATATTGTTATACCGTCCAGCACTTGAAATGCTTCGTCGCAAAATTCGTGAATCGATTCATTCTTCGCAATTACGGATTGTAAAATAATTAATGTTTTGTGTTTTGTGATATACTTAAGTATATCACAAAACATTAATTATTTTACAATCATGCTATAATAGAATGAAAACATATTACGAGAAGATTGAAGAATCAACAGAGAAAGTGTGTATAATGAAACACATTTGAACATGTGAGTTCATGCACGGCGTTGTACAAGTATAGATTTCGTTTACATGTGATTCTAAAAGACTTCTGTACTGATGACTTAGTTCTATAGTCAGACAACGACCGAGAGTGCGTTAATATTTTCTACCGGGAGTGTAGTGCAAAATAGTGCGTCTGAACGGTGTTAATTGTTGATCTTTCTTTTTGAGGCATTATGTGCTGATATTGTTTCTGTATTAGCAATGACAACAAATCGTACTAGCGAATGTTTAAAATACTGCTTATTAGGTTCATCTCAAAGTATTGATATTTGGGGGTATTGAATACATTCGGTAAGTGTGTGAACTTGAATTTTCTTACACCCCTATTGAAATTTTTTTCTGTCTCAAAGTTATTTATCAGCTGGCATTGTATTAGAATGGAAAAGAGTTCAACAAGACAAAACTAAACAAACGATTGTATTACGATCAAAAGAAGATACCTTATTACGATTAACAAAACGAATTGTCCCATTACTCATGCGGCACAATTTCGAAATCGATGCTTGTGATCTACTCATTGAACTTGAGCATATACATTTAATGAAACAATTTGTTAATAAAGATAGATACCCAAGAATATGTCTGTATTTAACTAGGTATGTATAAGACCCAGCTTTAATTTTGACCAGAGACAAGCATCAGTTTGTGGTTAGAACCTTGTAAGGACTTGAAACTTATAATAATCGCTGTAGCATTATGTATAACTGCTAAAATTTAGATGGAAAAGAAAGATGCTTCAAATAGACAAAAAGACACTTTCTCGTATTTCAAGTAAAACTACAAAGTACTTTTTTTCTTACTTACAAAAGTACTTTCTCGAAGTACAAGTAAGTATAAGTATAAGTACACTTCGTGACTACTTGTACTTTTTACTTGAAAAAGCACGAAAAGTACAAGTACAAAAACTTTCGTCCTAGCTCTGCTTTCAATCATTGGCTACTGTTGGTCTCTGCTGTCAATAATACTCGGTGTAAAAATGAAATGTACTCTGAAAAAAGGTACTGGAAATGTTCAGTTAGATTAAAACCTACATATTCTTGTTCAGCTGGACGAGCTCTATCCAACATGTATAAATATTGCAAAAATAAATTTTGCTTAAGTTTTGAATTACGGGCATCTTAGCATCTACGTTAAATTTCATCTTTTTCTCCTTACATCACGATGACATAACCATAGATAATAAGACGCACGTAATTCGAAGTTTCCACACGATTTTATTTTTGGCTTATTCATACATCATTCGATAAAGAATTTCATCCTGAACGAGAATATCGCCCTTCTAGCCTTTCCAGTGCAGTTTTTGCGTCGAAAAATTGAAAATACGAGAATGATCTTAAAATTCGAAAAAGCTTCCACTTTCGAAAAAAGTTGAATACTTTTTTGCCTCTTTATTTTGAAACTGTCAAACAGTCTTTTTCCAATTCAGCGTTGAAAACTGAATTAGAAAATGCGTTTTTGATGGGCTCCATATGTAATGTCACTGCACGAAAAATTCAACTTCAGGATATCTCCAAAGCGGAGACCCCGTCACAAAAGCTATCTAATTTTTTTCTGATAAAGGTGGAACCTTCGTTCTTGCGCTTTTCGATCGACCGTTATTCATGCTGTAAAAGTATCATCCGGTTCTTTTGAAATTCCTCTCCATTATATTCAGAGTCTGCGTCAAAAACTGAGTCGAACGATATATGTTTTGGAATTTTCATTTTTTGGTGAAAATTCGAAAAAAACAAAAGTGGTCGCATAGGATAAAAAGGAACGTCAGTCAACTCAGCTTCTGACGCTGACTCCGAATATGATACTTCTATTGCATAAAAGGTGAGTTCTGGTGGAGAAAGTTGGAAATTACGGGCAGAATTCAGATTTTTTCGCTCCTTATTTAGCAACAGTGAAATTTCTCAGCAATGGAGAGGAATTTCAATAGAACCGAACGATACTTTAATAGTACGAATAAAGGCCTTGTCTGGTAAAAGTGGAACCTTCATTCTTGCGCTTTTCGATCCGCCTTTATTCGTACTATAAAAGCA